AGCAACATTAACAAATTGTGGCACCACAGAAATGATATACTATCTGTTTTGGAGAGGAATCTGATGCTTTTACACGTAGTAAACGTTTTTTTTTTTTTAACTTTGATAAAGTGATGAACTTTACGAAGTGAAATTAGGACATGCGAAATGTGTAAAACAATAAGGATTAATGATCATATCTCTAATAGGGCAAAGTTGAAAGGAAGAATATTAAAGATAAAGGTAAGAAAAATCAATCAAATTGACATCAGAACCATAAATTTCATTGAATAATATCTATAAAATTGATTTAATTCTATCACAGCGCGGGTGCTGTTAGGTCATTATTACCTACAACATAATTGACGAATTTCCTATATGTGATACAATCATAATGTCGAGAATCATCTGGGCAGCATAACAAAGCTGAGGAAGCCAAAGTTTAGTTGACATTTCAGTATGTCACAGCTATTTCAGAGCTTAGAAAGCTTTCTATTTATATCATGAAATTATTAACAAAGAAATGTTGCAGCATCGGATATTATTGTAATCAATCATCAACAGCTTAGTATGAACCACATAGTTTCATTGCAGACTTTTTCAGCATTATCAATCAATGTCAAGCTTTCAGTGCACAAAATAGACTTTTCACAAAAATTATCGTTCTCGAGGTTTCAAACTTTTGAGGTTTTTCCTTCGAATGTTTATTTTGAAACTGCGTAAGAATGTCATCAAGAATCATTGTTTAACTTGTATCGACCATGATTTGTTGATAGAAACGGTAACAAAGAAATTGGACACAGATAAAGGATTTATCGATTCCAATTTACTATTACAACTAATAGCAATACCCGCTACGATCTGTTATTTATTAGTTAAGTTGATTTTGTTTATCTTTTCTCAAAACTCGATGGGACAAGTGGGAAATCAAAGAAACAAAGCATAAATGATATAACAACACTGCGAGTGACAACAAAGATGGAGGGAGTGTCATAAAAAAAAGATGTGGCAAGTGAATGTCGTCATTGTTACAGTTCCTCCATCAGCGATGGTAAGTGAGATGGTTGACGTGACAGTTTCGGAGTTATTGAATAAGGTTGCAGAAATTGGCGTATTTGCAACATAAAGCAAATTGAGTGGATGGTTCTGAGAAATTTTAACGCAAGACTAATAAAATCGAATATAGTTGAAGGAATGATGGCCAGTTAACAGAGAAATCTAATTTTATGAAAGACGAGACTGTAAAAAAGAAAGTAGGTGAAGTGACCAAATGTAGTAATGTATCTGCCTGTTATAACGAAGAAAGAGAGCGAAGAAAAAGAAGTTGAAATTCTAAATGAACAGATAAAGAGTAGAGCATTCGAACTCCTTGTCGAAAAACAATGCGCAGATGACCTCGAAAACACACTACATCAAATTGCAAGTCTGCTTAATCAGTTCTTTGGTTTTAGAAAGACTTTTGCCTCCTTCTGCGATAGTTTTCTTTTGACAACATTAACGAATTTGTAAGTAGCACTGAAACAATTTTTACCGCATTGAAATTTGGATAATTCAGTTTAAAAGAAAGTTAACATGCTTCTTTTTAAATTTAAACTGCACATGTTATGTTCCCAAGTAAAATTAGTCGCAAACGATCTCACAATCGGACCCTAACTTCTCACTAATGCAGGGATTATAACAATGACTCCATCCTCCCACCTTTTACACCATTTTTTTCCTCTTTGTTGCAGCTTTTTTGACGCAAATTGTTCTACCATTTATCCTTTATTTCTTTAATTTTCTCGTTCGTTCCATCGCTTCTGAGAGAAAAGGAGCAAAACGAACATGGCTTATAGCAGAAATAACCGGAATGGGTTTTGTTGTTAATTGTGAATAGTTTTTCCCCAGAAATTTCAGGGAATGGTTTTTATTTTCCTCAAGTTAACGATTTATTAAATGCTTTATCCTTCCAATCACTTTGCTACCGTTTCCATCAATCAGTCATCAGTCATCGCTGGACATCGATTTTTGATGGCATTCTTACGTCAGTTTGTGGATTTTCCAGACGAACACTCGAAGAAAAAACTTTGAAAGTTTAAACTGTAGTCAAATATGATCATCAATCTTTATTGTTTGTATATTTATAAATAACCGATTTCACTTTGCGGACCTTATCACTTTATGATGTCAAGAGCGTTTCTCACGAAAAGCATCGGATTCCACTCCAAAACAAAGAGCCTTCCATCTTCCATCATATCACAGTTCGTCACCGTTGCTGCAGTCATATTGATAATTATATCATCAAGCGACAATAATTATGTAAATTTATTCCTTATTTAATTGATCTAAAAAACTTACTTTGAGTGGAAGGATTATCAAATTGGATGTTTTTGGAACGAGCAATCACTCAACATTAAATAGTGGCAATATGTAATTCTCTATGATTTAAACATACTTTCTTCTAATTGTATTGCCCCTATTGATTGGCCATCGTCCCATAACTTGTCAGCTGCATCATCTGTAATAATCGCTGCAACTCAAATGATACCAGGACATATCAGTACGACATCGCGGAACAAATAATCTTTGAGTTTGTTACTGTCGCTTTAGTCATCCGATTAGGATAGGATGAAATCCTGTTTCCTATATTTCATAAATTTCGTTCCATTGAACCACTTGAATATCAATGTAACTCTCACTGCCTTTGCAATAGGAATAAGTGGATGTGACATTCGTACAGATACTAATTACAATTCAAATTACCGGAAAGATAATGAATGACATGACGGGGAATGTTGGTAAGAGCAAAATATACCAAAATATACTTTGTTTCATTTGGAAGCAAAGTAAAGTGATTTAAAAAAGCAAGATGAATACCTCCTTTAGTGACTTGTCCGGCTCTTACGACATGGTTCATATTCATACCGCAATAAATGCAAAAAGCAATATATGCTGTCACCTTTGCCATTTTGAGTTTGTTGCAAAATGTTGAACTGATATTTTCTAAATTACTGGTTTTCATTAATTTACTTCATTCTCAGCAATGGCATTGATTTCATTAATTTACTTCATTTTCAGCAATGGTATTGAATCAATACTCTCGTATTGATTGTGGCAGTGATTTACTCAACTTGAAGTTTTTTGTGTTCAGTGGCACTTATGAATGAGTTTTCAAATTTCGTGCTAACCTTCAAGGATTTAATTTACGTGAAGGAGAATGAAAAGAGGGTGAGGGATACGATCCATTTTCCACGGGACCATAGAAGCCTTGGAAAATACACGAGAATATTTATATTAAAATGATCGAGTGAGTGATCTTAACTGATTGGGAGGCAATTACTTCTCCCTGATTAACTGATTAGGAGGCAGTTCCGTCCAAAACATGCATATGCAACTTCTTTAACATGTTTGTTGACGTTTGTGGCATTCCCCAAACCCATTTAGTCAACATTCATATTTGTAGCTGATTGCAAATTGAATAGTTGGCAATTTATGCGATTCATTTTATTGAATCCTAGATAAGAAATGGTTTTCACATTACATTAGATAGTTCTTTAACATGAATTTAAAGATAATGTCATCGTAGCCGACTTTCTATTTATTTTGGCTGGCATTCTGCTTATTACTAATTTACCGATCTCAACCCCATAATTACTATAATAATGCAAATTTATTCTAGAAAACTGTAATTCTTCGAGTAGAATACTTTGCAAAGCTGTGTCAAGAAAAGTTAAGATTGCCACACAGGACTTTGGCGGATATACATCGTATCTAAAAGCAGTCTTTTTAAAAATAAAAAAAGGGAACTATTAACGGTTAAAATCACAAAGATTGTGTTTTTTATAGTTCGATATCGGAGCCAGTGAGTGTAGTTGTAGACACACTTTTTTTCTTCTATGACCTGATTATTTTCCGTATTTTTCTTCGGATGACAGAAGAATGGGTTGATGTGAATGAATAGAAAGGAAATGATGTAAGTGATAACAATAAGAGTATAATAGAGTTGAAGTCTATGTGTAGTTGACATTTCAATATGTCACGGTTGTTTCAGAGATTACAAAGCCTTCTATTTATATTATCCAATTATCAGCAAAGAAATATAGCAGCATCCGATATTATTCTGATATATCGCAGATTTTTTCAACATATCAATCAACGCCACATTCATGGTGTTATGTTCACAACACATAATTCAAATTCTCGAAATTTTTTTAGGTGTTTGTTTGGGAAATATGCAAAAATACCACTAAGAATTGATTTCCAACATGTATCGAAGATTTACTTATAATGCCAGTAATAATAAATTTCAGATAAAGAAAAATAGAAGGAAAGCGAAATTATTTAGTAAAATCAACTAATTGACACCAGAGTCATAAATTAGATTCAACCGTATCATAGTGCGAACGCTGTCAATCTCTCCTTACCTGCAATATAATTAATGAAATTAATTTTCTATATGTGACACAATCATGATGTTGAATATCACCTGGACAACAGAGCTGGCGGAGTCAAAGTTTAATTGACATTTCAGTATTTCATGGCTCGTGTTTCAAAGATTAGCGTTCTATTTATATCATATTATGAGGTTGAGGTTAATAAACTGGAAGAAGTAAAGTGCTGGCAAAATTGAGCAGAAAGTCAAAGAGTCAAAAGCCTACTCTGCAAGCTCGACGACATTGTCTTTCTATTTACGTTAATTAGCAATAGGATGTGATGTGGGAACTATATTTTGATCTAGAACTCAAGATCAACTAATGACTAATGTTAGTGACATTCCCCGAACCGCTGAAATCCGTTGGCCAATTACCAGGTTTTAGAAATTGCACGTGCTTAAGAGTTCATTTATTTCTCGTAATTGGTTAAATAAGCGAAACCGTTCGCAGTCCATTTGACGAAAACGTTTTTTAGCTTAAGGCTTTCGAATTAAATTTCACTCAGTATTTTGTTAGATCATTCGACTTCAAGAAATAAATATGATTGTTAAATGCAGGAAATTATTTGTATTATTCATTAATTTGCGTCTAAAACAAATATGGCAACCTCCAGAAGTGTCAAGAATTAATTTTAATAATGGAAATGAATATATCTGCTGAATCTATTAAATTTATTTATTCAGTCTTTTGTCGATAGTTTCAATATGGAGGAAACTTAACTTCTCAGAAGCTCTAATTGGATGGGAAATGTAATATCAAACAAAACAATCCACCTTTTCTTTTATATTCACTCGAGAAAAATTCACTCTAATTCATTAATTTTGCAGTTTGGCAACGATTCCAGACGAATTCTTGAAATAATTTCATTTATAGATGGAAGAATTAGGCTGTCGTGAAATAGTAAAGACTGCCAGATAATTTATTTGTTGAGCTCACTGGTTGGATAATCAAGCTCCAATCAAATCTATCAAATGAAGCGCTTAGAGCGAAAGTGTTTGTCTGGAGGTCGATTTGTCTTGTGAATACGCAACAGTAAGGAATATTAACCTTTATCGTGATGAGAGATTGATAAAAATCCGCCAATGTCCGTAGAAGCGAAGAATAAAACAGAAGAAGAAGCCGATAACCTTCGAAGAGGGGAGCAGCTCCAAGCTTTTCCGCCCGGATTTTGGACCCAGATTATATATGTTAAGAAATGGGAGTGGTTTACATGAAGAATTTAAGTATCGGAAACACACCGGATATGGTACAAGCATTACAACAAGATTAAACAAAATGATTGACATGGGAAATTAAGGGTTTAAACATAAAAACGCAAATTGATTAGATAAGATAACAACAAAAGAATGTGGGAAACAATTTTAAGGAATGTAAATATGTTAAGAGTGATTCATAGTATCATTGGCATTAATTTACAATGTGAATGAATTTATTTGAGGTTTCGTTTTCACGACATAGGCTTTCTTAAGAGTTACAAAAGCCCTTCATTAAATTGATTCGGATCTTCGATATATTTCTAATTTCCGAATTTGTTTCCATCCATATCAAAATTGCCGATAAACTACTGCAGGAAATTTAGGTCACCAAATGACTGAAACGCTATTTTCGTGTTTCAATTTAATTCAGTTCTTTATTTCCTTTTTCAACAAACGCATTGTCATGTAATATTTCATTTTTCTTTTTTATTGCTTTAATTTTACAAGATTCCATCACCTTTTCTGTTAAATATCGTGAAAATTTTATTTGAACATAGCTTTAATTTCGGTAATCCGACAACTTTTTAAACTAAATTATTCAAATTTCAATGCGATGAAAATTGTTTCAGTGTTACTGAAAAATTCGTTAATATTGTAAAAAAATAAGAAAAGGAACTGTCATAGAAACTAGACAGAAAATTTTCAAAAACAGAATAACTCATTAGCTTATTTGTAATTTGATATGGCGTATTTTCGAGGTCATCTGCATATTGTTTTTCGACAGGGAATTCTCCTTCAAATTCTCTTCCCTTTATTGTTCATTTAGACTTTCGGTTTTTTTCATTTCCTTCATTATTAACCAGCCATTATCCCTCAACAATGCTTAATTAGTATTAAAACTTCTCAAGACTCTCCACTCAATCCGCCCTTCATTACATTACACTCGTGTTTCCCACCGCACTTTCTTTTATGCCATTTTCTTCTGTTTTTCTGCAGTTCTTCGGGTTACTGTACCATTTATCCTTTTCATACTAAACTGTTGATGGTTGATCCGAATAATATATGATGCTGAAATTTTCCTTTGTTGATAATTTCATGAAATAGAAGGCTTTCTAATCTCTGAAACAGCCCTGACATACTGAAATATCAACTAAACATTGACTTCTCCAACTCTGTTATACTGCCCAGGTGATATTCGACATCACGACTGTGTCATACATAGGAAATCAATTTCGTCAATTATGTTGCAGTTAGGGCTTACCGCTTACGCAATCGAATTGAATCGAATCGAAATGAATGAAATTTACGACTATGTTTTTAATTATTTGAGTTCATTAAGTAATTTTTCACTCCTTATTTATTTCCTTCACCTTTAATTTTTCTTCCTTCAACTTGTCATATTAGCGCTCTGATCTCATTTTATCAAAACATGATCATTACTGTTTATTATTCATATTTACAACTACCTAATTTCACTTTGCGAACTTTATCACTTTATCAATTCAAGGTTTTTCACGGAAAGCATCGGATTCTCCTCCAAAACAGGCAGGCTTCCATCCTCAATTGTGCTATAATTTGCCAATGTTGCTGTAATCATACTGATAATATCACTAAGTACAAATAATTATGTCAATTCATTTCTTGTCTCACTGAAAGAAGTTAATAAGTGAATCAGAAAATTGCTTACTACGATAGAAAGAACTGTCAATTTGAATGTTTTTGAAATGAACAATCATTCAACATTAAACAGTACTAGTATGTAATTCTCCATGATGTAAACATACATTTTAATTGCATTATCTCTATTAATTGGTTATCATCCCACAGTTTGCCAGCTTCACCATGCACAACAATTGCCACAGCTGAAACTGATGCCAGGGCTTATCAGTACAACATTGCAGAACAAATAATAATCTTTGAGTTTGTTGCTGTCGCTTTAATTAATCATCTCATTAGGACGGGATGAAATTCTGGTTTCTACATTCTATAAATTCCATTCCGTCAAACCGTTTGAGTATCAAGAACTTTACTCTCGTTAGCTTTACAGAAAAGAATAAGCGTCTGTGACATTCTTACTTATACCAATTATAATTCAAATTACGGGGAAGGTAATGAATAACATGATAGGGGGTGATGGTAAAAGTAAAATATTACAGGAACTTCATTTCATCTGAAGGCAAAGTGGAATTATAAAAAGAGGTGAGATGAATACCTCCTCCGGGCACAGCTCCTGCTCCGGGCCCAGCTCCTCCTCCGGGAGCCCGCATCATTGCACCACAATAAATGACGAAAACAAAAAGTACGATTAGCTTTACCATACCTGAAGTCGCAGTTAAAATCGAACCGATATTTCCTGAAGTATTCGTTTCACGTCATTGATTTACTCTCAATTTCTTGCCTTTTTTACAACTTGTGGTTTGAAAGGGATTGAAAAGAGGATGAGAGATATGATTCATTTATCACCGGATCATAGAAACTTTAAGTCAAAAAAAACTTTTTTCGAAGAAGTTCCTGATTAGCTGGTTAGGAAGCGATTACAATCAAAACCTGGTACATAAAGCTTGTAGGATATATTAGTTGATGCTTGTGACTTTCTTTAAACTCATATAGTCAATTTTCAGAACTGTAGTTCGTTGAAAACTGGATAATTAGTAAGTTAATTCTGTCCATATCATTGAATCTTAAATCAAAATACCGCTCCCACATCATATCCTATAGCAATTTAAATAAACTTGAGGACGATGTCTCGAACTCTGACGGATATACGCAGTGGTTTTTGTCAGTTTGACCAGCATTCAGTCTACAACTAATTTATCGACCTATATCTGTAAATTTATTCT